AGGAGTTATGGCTGATTTGGTATAGGTTATTTAGGTATACCACTTGCTAGAAAATTTTTAACCTAAAATAAATGAGCTTGGATTAATGGTAGTGGGCTTCGACTTGAGTTAAAATGAGATAGACTTAAATTTAAAAAATAAAGTGGACTTAGATTAAAACAAATGGACTTGGGCTTGGATTCAAATAAATGATCTTGGATTTAAAAATAAAATGGACTTAGATTAAAACAAATGGACTTGGGCTTGGATTAAAATAAATGGGCTTGGATTAATGTTAATGGGCTTAGACTTGAGTTAAAATGAGATGGGCTTGGATTTAAAAATAAAGTGGACTTAGATTAAAACAAATGGACTTGGGCTTGGATTAATGTTAATGGGCTTGGATTTAAATAAAATAAACTTGGTAATGGACCTAAAATCAAAAGGCTTGGTTTTAAAGTAGATGGGCTTAGACTAACGGAAATGGGCTTAGGCTAAAATAAGTAGACTTAGATAGAAATAAAAAGGATTTTAAAATTTTAAAGAAAATTTATTCTTTCGGAGAGGAAATTTAAAAAAAAAAGAATTAGACCTTCTTTAATTATTAATGAAACCAATAAACAATATTAATGAGCGGAGGTTGTGTTTTTGTTATAAGTACCATGATTGGTATGTGAGTGTCAAGTGAATCTCGAGTGATGGTTAGATCGTGAGTATGGCTTGAGAAAAAGGGCTAGTACCCGAGTTTGGTTGAATGTGATTAAACATGTCATCACGTGCATCATGTGCATTAGGGGTGGAAATAAATAGAGAAAAATCATTAAGTCTTGAATTGACACGGTTTGGTAGCCGAATTGAGTGGATTGGGTAATAGCAAAGAATCTATAGTACGAGCTCTATTTACTAACATCGTTAAGCGAGGGATAATTTTGCTAATCGTGTGCTAAAACGAGGGATAATTTCGTTACAAGCGGTAGGTGATATTGAGATCACTAAGAGAAAATAATAGAGCGATAGGTGATAACATGATCACCGAGAGATTGGGCGCACGGACTTGCATATACCTAGGGTACCCGGATTAAAATGAATGAAAATATGAGAAACACAATAGCATTGCATATCACGTGCATTACCCTACTTATTGAGCTTTGGCTCATTCCGTTATTGTATTTGTGTGTTGTTCAAGCAAGGGCAAAGTTAAGTCGATCAAGGATGCTATCGGTTTTCGCTAAAAGAGGCTCATGTGTCACTCATAAAAATAGGAATATCTTTTGTGTCATTGAAAAGGGATACGGGCCTAGGACGTAAATTTTCGAGCATTTTGAATATGTTATAAATTATAGAACTATCCGTAATAATGTTATATATTATATCATACGTTTCCCATAGTTTAGTTTACGTTGTGTATGATGGAGGAAGTAGGGGACTTAGTCCTAACGGTGTCTCGCGTCGGTCACGCTTGTTAGGTAATAGGTAAGGGATTCGGAGGCGTCACACTATATGTAACCCCCGTGAAACTCTTTAGCTATATAGCTATACGTACCGATATATTATATCCATTTATATGAAGTATTAGGTGTGACTTACGTGCCATTTTAATATTTTAAGATGGAAACATACTTCATGTTTATGAAAGGAGTTATAATAATAATAATAATTTAGGCACGTCGAAATTTTAATTCCCCGAGAAGAATATCTTCTAGAATATCCATAATTATGTAGGTGTAATTATGTGTCATTTCTTTTCTATTTTGTGGTGTTATCTAAGGTTTATGAAAGTGTTCATAGGAATAACCATTTTGGGAAATTAAATAGCCATCATTTAATTTTCCCATAATATTATATTTAAAATGACCATGTAAGTAAAATAATTTCTCCAAACAAGGTGCATGGTCGAATTTTTGGGAACCAAATGAGGTAAGGAAATTGGTTAGTTTAGTTACCTTTTAGTTTCTATCTTTAGTTAGTGATGTGACATCAAATCTTTCACCATACTTCCATTTGTACTATCTCACTCATTTTGGGAAGCCAAACATGCCAACTTATCTCCCACTTAGTCTCCATCATGTGATCTTTTCTACCACAAAGTGTTGACATTTGGCATACTAATAATGAAGGAAATAAATGGTCTAAAAGTGTGATATAAAAATGGAAGAAAGACATGAACTTTGCCATTTTTAGAGACAAAACCATAGCTTCCAAAAAGAGAGGAAAGAAACGGCTATGAGAAGGAAAGAGAGATGAAAAAGAAAGAGAGAAAAAGAAAGGAAAGAAAGAAAGGAGAAAAAGAAGGAAAAATCTAAAAAATCTTAAGCAAGCATATATCATTGTAAGTGGGTTTCATTTTTGCTTACTTTATGCCTTAAGTTCTCTTGTAAATGTTCAATTTATAAGTTTTGTTTTAAGTCATGTAATCTGTTGTCATGGTTGCTTGTATTGATGTTTTGTAATGGATCTAGTATGATTGTTATGATGTGAGGAATGGTTGATATGGATGTATGCATGGTAGATGTGGTTGGACTAAATTTGGTGGGATCTAAACTATACTTGGTATGGATTTGAAAAACATGACTTAGAAGTAAAGAAATGAATTCCTAGGGTTTTCCAAAGGGAACCTATTCGACTTAGGAGGGAAAAAGGAATAAGATTGGACTTTTTTTAGGTAATGACAGATTTAATGTTCAATGACAACTCCATTAAGCATAAAGTAGTAAGTTAGATTAAATAGAAAACCTTAACCACTTTAGAACCCAATTCGGCCTAATCCCATAAATTTTGGGGTTTGAGTTCTAACCTTCCAACCTTATGATTAATGGTTAAATCCCACCTAAAGAAGGGTAAAATGAAATGTTAAAGGGTAAGAATCTAAGAGAAAAACTAAAATTATAACCTAGGCCCATTAAGAGTAAAATTCGATCATAACTACCTAAACTAGGGTTAAGAAAGAAATTCTATTTCAATTATGATTAAATGGGTTTGTAGGATTAAAGTATATGGATGCATTTAAATCTAACCACTCAACTTCATGAATAGTGGTTTATTTGTACCTTAATAGGTATGAAATGAAGTCTTAAAAGGTGAAAATTCAAGAAAAATCGAAAGTAAGACCTAGATCCCTTAGAGGCTAAATTTGACTACTAAGGTTAAAGTTCGGATTAAAAATAAGTTTCATCTTTAGCATGTCACAATAAAATCCTTAGAATTGACGATCAAATAAACTAAGTAGTACGTTGAAATCCAAAGCTAGACTTACTACGTATGTGAGAGGAAAGACACAAATGTATGAAGTACACTTATGACTTGAATAATACCAATGGGTGGAAATAGTATTCTCTTGGGGGATGTCATGAGTTAAATGTCATAAATCCAACATCACATGCATTATATGCATACGGGGAATGGATTAAATTGGGGAAAATAATTAAGTCGAAAACGAGGAGGTTTGGTAATCGAATCGGATTAAATTGGATAGGTTTGGTAACCTACTAGATTAAATGGGTATTAGCACCGAAGCTCGTGTGCGTGCTCTATTCTATGTGGCTAATTTGTGTGACTATACCGATAGACGATGGATAATCCCGTTAACCGAGGCTACAACGAGGGGTAATTTCGTTATTAGCTATAGGTGATTCGACAATTATCGAGATATGAAAATAGAGCAGATTTGCTAATACTCGAAGTACCGAATTAAAATTTGATGAGTCAAAGTTGAGGAGTCGGAAAATTATTGCATATCACGTGCATCACCCTACGTATCGAGCTTTGGCTTACTCCGTATTTATTTCATGCTATGACAAGTAAAGGCGATAAAAAATGATGATAATGAAGTTTCGGTTCCTCCCGGAAAAGGGCTCATGTGTGATACGAAAATATAGGAGTCTCTTGTGTTTGTAAATTATATTTTGTAACTTTTATAATGATATTCAATGCATTATATATGTTGTATCGGAGTAGATTTGAGATGTCGGTCTCTAAACCGTGACGCACTTAGCCACATCTTTTAGGTAATTGGTAAGGGAGCTAGGGGTGCCACATTATAGGTCAATTTTAGGATTGAGTGATTTGTTAACAATCTGTCCAGTTCTAGAAAGGGTTGGTCCTTGGTGTAAGGTTGGTTGGAACATAATTAGGAGGGAATATATAGGCTGTACTGATGAAGGGAGAGGACCATTAGAGAATTAGGTGTAATTTTGGAGTGACAATCTTGTCTGGGAGAGAGATAGTCTCTCAAATTGTTGCTAACATTTCTAATTCCAATAAAGTATCATTTCGTGTTCTATTTTCCTGACGTTGTGCATTCAGATTCTATCATTTTGTGCATTTGTACTTTATTAGTATGATTTTTATAAATAGATTTAATTTTTTTTTTAACTTTTGACAAAAAGAAATATATAAATATGTTTGGAAAAAAATGGTAAGAAAATTGAGACAAAATTTGGCTTTATCTTAACTTTTGAATCGTGAATTTTAACTTATATTACATCTTTCTTTTTTTTAAGAATAAAAATATTTGGATCCTTTTAAAAAAAAAACATATTATTAACTTGTTTTTATAATAAGATAATTATTATAAAAAATTGGATTATGATCGAAAGTCAATTTTTATTTTTCACAATTCATTGCAAACATACTCTTCTAAAATTCTGACAAATTAATACTTTTGAAAAAAAGAAAAATGGAATTCATTATTTATTAAAAAAGAAAAAAAGAAAAGAAAAGGTAGATGAGGCCAAGGAGTTTGAAACGAACCCAACTCTGCAAAGGACAATCTCTCTTGGTCCTATTGATAGAGCCCACACCATGCCTCCTAATTCGTAGACTTCGATTTCAGCTGATAGCTAGCTAGTCTGCAACATCGTAGAGAAACTGCAAAGTTGATTGAAATTTGGTGGTAAGCTCCGGCTCCAATTTCTTCTTCAGTTCTTTTACCAAATCAATTGAATCAATCTCTTAATCTCTTATATTTCTGAAATTCAATTTTGTATTGATGATTAGAAGTGAAGAGGGGAAGAGAGGATCAGATGGGGAAAAGAGGAAGGGCGTGCGTGGTGGTATTGGGAGATATTGGCCGAAGTCCTCGTATGCAATACCATGCTCTTTCCCTTGCTCGTCAGGCATCACTTCAAGTTGACATTGTGGCTTATGGAGGTATCTCTCTCTATCTTTAAGAATCCATCCTTATTGGATTTCTTGATAAATTTTGATTCAAACTTTCTGCAGGTTCTGAACCCCATATGGCATTGCGGGAGAATCGGTCTATTCATATCCACAAAATGGTATTTATCAATCCAAAATCTTGCTTCACTTGAATATCTCTATCCATCATAATACTTCTGATTTTATTGGTTTTTTTTTTTTTTTTTTTTTGCAGAAACAGTGGCCAACAATTCTGCAGGGCTTGCCGAAGATGCTTAAGCCATGTATGCTTTTACTTAAGCCATTGTGGCAGTTTCTCATGCTTCTTTGGTATTTGTGCGTCAAAATACCAGCCCCCGATGTTTTCATTGTGCAGGTCAGAACATGCCTGTAACATAATTCTTAGGACTTTCTTGTCTGACTGAGTAATATGTTGTTTTTGGAATTTTTTTTATTATTTTTATTGCATGACTGCTGCCCATAAGACACATGGCAATGGCGGTGTGAAAGTGCAAATTGGTGGAGAGAAGGTGAATTTTTGTCTAGGTTATGGGAAGAATGGAGGAGAGAAGGGGCCGGTGTTGGACTTGTTGGAAAGTCTAGATAATAACCAAGTCTCCCATAGGCGTCCCTGTATCCTAATTTTTAAAATTTTATGATTATTTGCATATTGAAAACTCAGGCAGTTAGCCCAATAAGTACAGAACATTTATCGAGTCCATGTTGTGTTGCTGGGAACATGTTAGAATTACCTCAATTAAGTGACCATTGTTAATTATTCAACCTGTAATAATTTTTATTTTTTTCTTGTATATATTCAACCTGTAATATGCATCAGAGGATTCTGAGAAATATTCTGTATTCTGATGTTCTGAGCATTATAGCTGGTGTATGTATGTGTACATGTTTATATTGTCTATGCATCATTTTATTGGATTTCTCAATGATTAAACCAAAAATTCTCTCACTGTTGCTTTGGCTTCTGCAGAATCCTCCATCTGTTCCAACCCTGGTGGCCGTAAAATGGGCAAGCTGGTTGAGGAATGCCAAGTTTATTGTTGATTGGCATAACTTTGGTTATACTTTGCTAGCACTATCGCTTGGAAGAAATAGTCGATTTGTGACAGTATATCGTTGGTATTATTGAATTGTCGTTTGCCCTGTGGATTATCAGTTTCGTTGGTTCTTTGACAGATGTCTTAGTTTTTCTTACCTGCTTAGGTTTGAGAAGCATTATGGGAAGATGGCTCACGGTTCCCTATGTGTAACAAGGGCTATGCAACACGAATTGGCTCAAAACTGGGGAATCAAGTAAGAGGCTCAGCTCAACATGCATAGTTTTTCTGCATTCTGATTTGGACAATTTTATTATCATATCTTTATCGGTCAGCTACTCATCTGTTTTACATTAAACTGACAGAGCTGCAGTTCTATATGATCAACCACCTGAGTTTTTTCATCCTGCCTCACTTGAGGAGAAGCATAAGGTGAACCCATGTTTCATGCGAAGTTCTTCAGTCAGAATATGCTGAATTGTAAATTTATCACAGATCATTGTAGTTATTCTGCAGGTTAGATAAACTTATTAGTGAGTCACAAGGTGTTTGTGATTGCGCCAGCTATGGTAATATCATTGATCAAATAAATTTGTCATCTTATCTTTGTGGTGGTTTGGTTAAATCCAGATTTATTTGGTTCAGTTATACATTTCTTGCAGGAACCATGGGAATGGGTAGCCCTAATCTAAATGAGACTGTATTTACGACCATGGTTGGTGATGATATTTTCTTAAAACCAAACAGGCCTGCTCTTGTTGTAAGCAGTACAAGCTGGTGAGTTCGGTTTGATTTTTCATGCTAACATTGATGAGCCATGCATATGCCCCAATTGCTGATTTATTCTCAGATTATGGTGCCGTTAACATATTCAGTGGTTCTTACATTTTCCTTCTCACCCAAACTGTATAATATTATTTCACTCACAGGTTGTCTTAAGTATGTTACGTGAACATGGTTACTGTATTACATAATTGTTAAATGGTTTTTTAACTTTTATTTCATTTGGATGGGCTTGAGGAATCAATGGAAGTAGTTTAATTTCCTTCATTTGAGTGTTGAAATGATGGAAGTGAAAGGAGAAGAAAAGAAGTTAGATTTTCAAATTTCCTTTTCGGACATGCTAATTTTCCTCCCTGTAGAGAGCAAGGAAAATACAGAAATGGGCTGAAATTCTTTTAAATATACCCTGTTATCAGTTTTCAAATAACAAATCCCTAATTGAAAAATTCTTTATCTAAGTAATCTAATTAGAAGCACTGATGTCTGTTTTTATTCATATGAAACTCAGGTTTTCTCTGTTTCCCTAAATTTCTCGGTCCTGACCTTAAATCTCAACCAAGCAGAGTAATAATTCTAGTGTATTCCACCTGATTAACTAGTTGACCTTGTATGGTGGACACTCTTAAGTAATCCAGTGTTGCCTTAAAATACTTCTGTTGAAAGTAAACTTACCAGAGCATATTAACATGAGAGAATGGCTTGCAGGACACCAGATGAAGATTTTGGCATTCTTCTTGAAGCAGCAGTTATGTATGATAGAAGAGTTGGTGCTATTCTAAATGAAGACGATTCTATTGTGGAAGAGGTTCTTTGGAATGAAATGTCAGCTGGAAAGCAATATTTGTACCCTAGGTTGTTATTTATCATTACAGGTGATACTTTTGTTTGCTTTATTTTCTTATCAACATTTCCTTTTCTTATCAAATGAATATTCATGCATCTGTGGCATGCAACAACTTCTAACCTGGGATCTCATACCTTGGATTATTGAAGGTAAAGGGCCTGAAAGAGAAAAATATGAAGAAAAAATAAGACGGTTGCATCTTAAGCGTGTTGCATTTCGTACCATGTGGTTGTCAGCTGAGGATTATCCATTGCTTCTAGGTAGTAAACCATCTCACTGACTTTTGTTATAATTTGTTCAAGCAAGTGATGTAATTCCATCTCTCTCCTACGTTCACAGGATCAGCTGACCTTGGGGTGTGCTTGCATACTTCATCATCGGGATTGGACCTTCCCATGAAGGTATAACCCAGTGCTGAAATATGCATGAAAACTGTCTCTTTTATCTTGACCAATATAAACACTTCCTCATTGCACAAAAGTTATGTTTTTGCTCCATAAAAATCTCTGGCATCAGGTCGTGGACATGATTGGTTGTGGACTGCCTGTTTGTGCTGTCGCCTACTCTTGGTAAAGCCTTACTATTTTTTTTTTCTGCATGTGATTCAAGGTTCTGGTTGCATTATTCACTTATTTGCCATGTTTTCTTTGGCACTCTTGGTTTGAAGCATCAAGGAGCTCGTGAAAGTTGAGAAAAATGGTCTCCTCTTTTCATCACCTTCAGAGTTAGCTGATGAACTTTTGGTAAATTTTAATTACTTTGTCCAGATAACATTTTTTATGAATAACTAAAATACGAGAAAAAATTTAAGCAACTTGCCCGAAATTGATGGTGTGTTGTATAAAGGCCCTGGCACATGAAACAAAGTTATAGGCAGAAAGATAGTGGAGCTACAGTTAAAGGAGTTTTTTTTTTCCAGTTTGGTTTGTATCGTGACAAAATAACTGTTGCGGTGAATGTTTGCAGATGCTGTTTAAGAGCTTTCCGGATGAATGTGATGCACTGAAGCTGCTAAGAAATGGTGCACTAGAAATGGGTTCTTCAAGGTGGGCTAACGAGTGGGAAGAGCATGCTAAGCCAATAATATTTGAGGCAAGCTTACATTTCTCAATACGGATATCTATATCAGCATTATAGCAGTAATTTCATTAAGTGTCCACAATGTCTTACTCCCATTTCCTCTAACATGCTATAATTTTTTGTGTAGTGATGTTAGTATTCTACTTGCCTGATCAAATATATACTTTTTTAAGGTTGCTTTAGGAATTGGGTTTCTTTTGGTTCAGTGGGAGACCGATTAGATCTTGAGCTACCATGGACTCCTGCTACTAACCGAATGCTGTTTTTCACCCCTTCTCTTCCTTTAATGCGCTTTCTTTGATTTTTTGTGCATACTTGCAGGTTATTTCTCAGAACCTGGGATAAAATTTCCAGTTTCCATTTGAATTTGCTTTCAAGTAATTTAAACCAGGCAAGCTCAGCAATACCTCTTAATGGCTTCTTTGGAATTGGTTTGGGCAAAACCTCAAAATGATGGATCCAGCTTGGTTAACACAGTAGCGTCCAGCTACAGATCGTTTGTTCGTTGAAACCCTGTTTTGCATTTGACAGCTCATCAGCGTCTCTGATTACCTGAATTATGCCACATTTTTGTTCGCAGAAGTATATACCTTCGCATATAGCAGTCCGGGTGCAATGTGCAAAATATCTTTAGAGTCAATAGCAATTTCAGGTTGATGAGCTATATTTGCTTGTAGATGTTGCAAAATAAACTTGGAACAAGCATTGTTTTTTATACGTGTGAAGAACATAAAAACCACGTAGGTTTTTTTTTGTTTTTGGCTGGGTGGGTTTGTGGGGGTAAATAAAGGGCTAATAGCCTAAGAAAAGGAAAACTACACTCAACACGGACCGGTATAGCCACCCCAATAAAATCGGGGACCAAGTAGTTAAGATAAAAAGTTTGAGATGATAACATAAAAAATTTGTGCATTTTGAGAATTTTTATAATTGAGTGTCAAATTTTTTTTTTTTCAAATAAATGTGAATTTTTAAATTATAATAATCAAGTGAAATTCAAAAAGGTGGTATGTGATATGAAATCATTGATGAGACTTTATTTAAGAGAGGAGGTGTTAATTGTGACATGAATATTAATGGATGATGTAGCATTAATAACATGGAAAAACAATTTTGGAAGGAAATTTTCTTTTTCTTTTTTTGAAAAAAGATAAAATGTACTTCTACTAATGTGAAGCATTAAAATTGCCTTCTTTTTACATTTTCACATTTGGTTGATGTTATTGATGTGCCCAAATATGTACTAAAAATTAACAGGCAATACTTGTAAATATACAAGGTAATTATAGTACTAGTGAGTCACCCAAGGTCGTATTTTCGGGGAGATGTTATTGGGCATAAAATAATTCGATTCCAATTGCAAATAGAAACAATAAAGTGAAATCCTAAACACTTTAACCAGATTGTGTTGTGAAAATATTAAAAAAAAAATTATGAAAAGTAACTATTGTAATTATAACAAAACGAGAACCGAAATCAAGGTGAGAACATTCTTGAGAAATAACTTCACCAATTAAATCCTATGTTTAATTGAAATTCCTTAAATAGTTATACTTGCAAATATTAGTAATTGAACATCAATTTAATTAACTAAATACCTTTGTAACTTTCGTAGTCGGAAGGTCTAAAACTCGATTAAATTAATTAATCCTTTTACTAATCTTTCTTCACCAGATTATTGGATTTCTCATTGATACCCTAATGTCTATAGTTCTTTAGTCTAGCATTGAGTTTTATCGATCAATCTCAACACCACGGATACATATAATTGTTGGCCAAACATTGACATATAAATAGTTTCGAATCACATAACTAAATGCAATAACAACTAAATAACCAATTTAATTAAACATATTCAATAACGGGATCCGTTAATTCTCAAGACGGAATTTAGCTCATAATTGAAAGATAAAAGTCTATTGATTTAATCAAAATAAATTCCATGTTTTCACAATCAAGAATTGAAAGCAATAAAATCGAGAGATTTAGAAATAATGCGAGTTGTCTCGCTTCGATTGAGGTTGGTCTACGTTACGGCTTAAACACAAATCCTTGCTTAGTCTCTATCGTCCGTTTTCAATGGCTAAAAACAATGCGGTTCTTTGGAAAGTCTCTAGGTTTTTTTTAGAGAATTTCCCTATGATAGAGAATGGTTCATATCTCCACAAGTGGTCGAATACCCCAAACACCATGCTTCGCTTTCTATTTATAGCTCTTATTTCCCAAAATTAAAATCGCTCAAAATCCGCACAATCTTTGCTTTTTGTTCGCTAAAACTTTGCAAAATTCACCGGTAATCTCGAAGAATAGGAAATCGGTTGTCATGCTTGGTGTGATTCAAGCCACTACCATGACTTGATGGAAGGTCACGCCCGCGTGAATCAAGCCACTGCAGTGACTTAATGGAAGGTCACGCCCGTGACTAATTGGTCATGGCCGTGACTCCTTTTAATCACTTTTCTTATTGGGATTTCCAATTTGATCCCGAACCTAAATAAAACATAATTTAAGGATAAAAACATACATATAACTAAAAATAACGATAATGTAAAAATAATAGGCAAATGAAATAAAAACTTATTATAAACCTAGAATTATTCTATAAAAATTAAAGTAAAAACTACTAAAATACTATGTAAATAATAGACATATCAAAATAAATTTATTTTTTTATTATAAATTGAAAATAAAATATTTTTTTTGTTTATCTTTTGAGTTAAAAGTATAATTCTTTCATGATAAATTTAATTTGAATGAAATAAAATTAATATTTTTTAGTTAGGTTATCATAAAAACAAAAAAATAAGATGACTATTATAAGTTATGGTTTTGATTTTTTATGAAAGATGGAAATTTTACTTTATTTTTTGAAAAAAAAATGCAAAATGCGATTATTATTTATTTTATTTTATTTTAGGTTATAGAAGAAGAGAAATGTTAAGTTATTAGGTTAGGTTAGGTTATTTTTTTAATTACATTTTATATATTTCTTGAAAAAAGTAAAAAAGAAAGAAAAGAAGATGAAGAAAACTTTTCTCTAAAGCTATTTTTTTCATGTCATTAGTGCTAGATAATTAATTAATTTTCATGTCATAATTGACACTTCATCATTTAAATGATACATCATCAATATTTTCACATCATACACATATCCGGTTGAAAAAAAAATAAAGTTTTGACACACTTGATTGTAAAAATTTTCAAAGTGCACACACTTATTGTGTTATTGACAAAAAAAAAAAAAAAAAAATGATGGATTACTATTTACTATACTATTTAAAATACTATTTATCTAGACTTGGATGCATTATTCCTTTTACTATGTAGTATTTTTGTAGTTTTTAAATATTTTAAAGATATTTATTATAACATTTTTCATTACATTACACTTTAGTCCTTCTTTTTAAACATGTTTTTTTAGTCCGTAAATATTTTTTTGTTTCATTTTGATCCTTTTTTTTTCATTTTGATCACTTTCATCCTCTCTCTCTCTCTCTCTATTTTTTTAATTAAAAATTTTAAGGTAAAAAAAAGATTTAGAAAAAATAATTTACAAAATATGTTTTTAGCTAATAATCAATTGATTTTGACATTTTTTTTTACTATTATAAAATTTTTAGTTTTTTAATAGAGATAAATAAATAATGTTTCAAAAATTTATGAAAAATATAAAGAATAATAAGTCAAATCTAAAAGTTTGATTAAAAAATTAAAAAATTAAAAAATTAAATGAATTTTTATTTATTTTTTATTTGCTATATTTTGGTATATATAAAATATAACACGAAATATTAAATTAAAATAATTTTTAAAAAATAAATTTATGTTTTTTATTTGATCCGTAGCGTAGTGTGGATAAAAAAACTAGTTGTCTCTAAAGAGTGTCGATACTATGGGACTAACCCATTACTAATTTGAACTTTTTAGTTGCGTTTGATGAAGCACGAGGCACTTAAAAAAATGCTCCTTATTTGTATCAGACACATTTTAGATACATACATTTGTCGAGATATTATCAATACGTATTGGATAAGTAAGATGTGGCAAAAAAAAATAATAATAATTTTCGAAGACGTAGTTAAGGGTGTTCGTTTGGATATTCGATTCGGTTTCAAAATTTTTTGACCAATTTTTGATTAATTGAATTTTTCAAAAAATTAAGCGAAGCTGAATCGAATTATTATTCGATTTTTCGATTTGGTTTCAAAATACGTCGGTTTTATTGTCCAATAATTCAATTTTTACCTATAATTTTATATGTCTAAAATTATTTATCGACACTGATATTAATCATATCAAAGATTGTTTGTACTAATTCACGTGATCCGAATTTGTAAGGGTGCTCGTTGGCAAATTGGCACATATATACATATATAAACAAAAGCTTCCCTCTTTAAAATAATATGATAAATGTGTGTGAAAACAAACTTTGCCATCATCTCTATCTATTCAAATAATATATTATCTAGTCAGTAGACAAGGAAATTGCAGGATCATTAAGCATTGTAATAAAACATCACAAAAGGAGACTATCTTATCAAAATTTCTTTTTTAATCAGAACTGCTGTCTGTTCAATCAATCAACACTCCGCAAAGCTGCCATGAGCCCAAAGGCTTATCGTCAATCCATTAAAGGACCATTCTCAATTTGAGATATATTATAAACATAAATGTAAAGTACTATTTGCAACCAAAGAAAAAGCTTCTGGCACACCTTAAATTCTAAATAAAACATGATTGATGGTTCCATGGAAGTTTTTGCAAATGTATCATATGAGCCTCACATCAACCAGAGGTAACTATTACCTCACGAGTCACCAAACCCCTAGACCACCACTAATTCAACATTGGCAACACAACAAATTAGTCAATGGATGAATAGGATTGCAATTAATGATCCATAAGAAGCAAAGCCACACAATTCTAGAAAATCAAGGAGGACCTGAGCTACATACTGTTAAGGTCAATTGATCCATGTGTAAAGCAAAGGAAATTGCAGGATCATTAAGCATTACAATAAACATCAAATTTAGTATTCTAATTTGACACCAATTTATTTAGAAAATTCACACTATTATCATTAAATCACCATTCATACACTATGCTATATGCATGTAGTGGTACAGACACGTTGCTTAAAAAATCCATAGAATGGTATTTGGGAAAATATTTTCAATCTGTGGCCACCTAGCGCCATTGCCCATTGGGCAAGATAAAATGAAATGCAGTCATATTTGGATAATTGCTTGCATCCAAACGTAATTCTTAGCCAATTGTAGCTTCACTAAGTTCTATTTTTCATAGAGTTGCGAAGGAGTAACTGTGGCGCCCCCGACTCCCTTGTT